GAAAAAAGCTGTTGTCCTTGCCAAAGATGCATGTGCCAAGTACTTAAATGAGAAGAACTGGAGCTCAGGTTTGTTGATGAAGATATAAGATTTAATATTCTTGTTACAAAATTTAAAAATTATTTCCACTGAAAATTATTTAATAAATAACAAAACTTCCTCCTTTGTACAGTTTGTAATTTTTTTGGTAATATATTCATTAATTTTTAAAGTAATTCATTCACAAATAAATGAAGGAATAAAATTGAAAGTTTAGAATGCAATCATCTTTATTATTTTATAATTATCTTAGCCACTCTATGCCACTTTGTAATATTAAACACAATTGAAAAATATGACTTTAAGATATTTTTGTACTGTGATGAGAAAAATAAAAGCTTGATATCCAGAATTGTTATGTAATGTACATTTTCTATTTTAAATTACATTTTCAAGTAATTTTCAATAAAAGAAACCAATTTTCTGAATTCACCAAATTTCTGAAAAATATTAGTTAAATTTTAATGCAATATTAATAAATGGGTTGCTGTGGAACATTTTTTAATAGCCTCTCTTTCAAATTTGTTAGTATAGAGAAACTAAGACAATTAATGTGGTACTCAAAAAAAAATGTGAAGGGAATACATTGAAGTTGGTTAGAAATAATTGAATTATTTTAAATATTTTGTGATAATTTATGACTTTACATGTTACAATATGCAATCAGCTTCAGAATGTAGATAAATATTTCAGACGTCTTTAAAGTTTGACTTCGCTTATAGGTTGTATTTCTGCTGATATTCCATCTGTTACAATAATGTATGTTTTATTTCTTCAGATTATTGAGTGCCCTAGTGCTTTAATTTTTCTGTATTCAAAATGTGCTCATCCAGTACTATTTTTTTGCCATCCAGGTGCAGTGAAACCATTGATAGTTGGCTCTGTTGGTCCCTATGGTGCTTCATTAAATGACGGGTCTGAGTACACTGGATCTTACGTAAACAGTGTCTCAAAAGAGGAACTTATGGAGTGGCACCGGCCACGATTTCAAGCATTGGTGGAGGCTGGTGTTGATTTGCTGGCCTTCGAAACAATACCAGCACAGACTGAAGGAGAAGCCTTGGTAGAGTTACTAAAGGAATTTCCTCAACAGAGAGCCTGGCTCTCCTTCTCGTGCAAGGCAAGTGTTCAAGGGCAAGGTAAAGATGAAATTCTTTTTCAAGCAATTTTTGTGCACTACAACCCAAAAGTAATCCGTCTATACATCAATTTTTTAATGTGGCGCTAGATGGAAATCGGCTGTTGTCAGTGTCATCAAATCAGAAGCTTTGACTTCACTGTGATGGCATTCAAGCTCCCGATTGGATGACACAGTAATAGATGGTGTACGTCGGGCACCATGTTAAAAAAAATCAAAGTATAATCACTGTTTGATAATAATTTTTCTTGAGATGTTACAGGCAAACATCTTATAACATTTTTCTCTATTTCTAAATTCATGGAAGACAAAAATTAATCCTCCAATTTTTAAGAAAAACAGTTTTTGAAATTATTTTTTTCATGTTCAATTTTAAATTCATACAAGATATTGATTTTTGCTCACTTCTTTTGAGGAATGCTATCTTGCATAATATACCTGAAGATGTGGCTGCATCATGCCATTAAATGTTGTTCTATAAGTTTACATTTTATAAGTAATTTTCAATAACATAATAAATATAATTTATTCATATTAAATATTTCATATAAAGAATAACCTTTACCATATATAACCTCCATTGTTATATTATGCTTCAGAAATATTTATAATAGTTGGTAAAAGTTATTTTGAGATAAATCAAATATTAACTGTATCAAACAATTTTTGAAGTTTGAGACCAGATAATTCAAATAACAGTTGGAAAATAACTGGCTATACCTTCAGTCAAACCAGTCTTATGTAATGAAAAAAATAAATAACTCTCTAATAAAATTTGGAAAATATGTGAAAATGGTTTGCCACCTGCTTAATAAGTGCATGAAGTCTTATCTAAAAGACTGAAATTATCCTGAAAATATTAACAAATTAATAATGATGGGGTTCAAAAGGACACCAGATATGGTGTGAGGTTAATTAATGGAACCACCTTCAATAGTAATATCAGGTGAATAGTAGATTGTCTTCATCCGATAGGATTTGATTCTTTTTTACCTAACGATGTGCAGCTTGGCCACAAGTAGTCTGCTCTAAATTGCAGATGATTTATTCTTTGCTATGACGCCCTCCCAAATGTCCTCTCCACCGCGTTCCCAATCGCCGAGTCTGAATCCATTTCTGACCACCTCCTCCTGCACTTTCCAGAACAACTGCAACCGCCCTCCGGAATGACCTCCCAACCCCTCTACCAAACGATTTCCCAATGTGTTCCCGAACGCTTTCTCAGCCACACTTCTGGCAGCTCAGCCTAAAAGATTTCCTGACTGCCCTCCTGAACGCTCTCTTGGTCGCATCCAAACGCTCTCCTGACAATGTCATTGTGTCCTGCTTATCGCTCGTTCAGTTTACCGGCATGGCAGTGTTTACGCATGGGCCCGAAGGCCCCCCAGTGTTCTGCCTCCATAATTCTGAAGGGGGGAAAATGTAATACTTTTTTTCTTCAAAAAATACAATAAAAACGTATAAAAATGTGATGTGTAGTTAAACTATACGCAAAAATTGGCGTAACTGTGTGATGTGTCGTGCACCATTGAAAAATATTTATAATGTGGAATGTTGCTGGTTGATCTGTTTTAATTTTAAATTGTTCAATTCAATAAAAAATTGTTATTGAATTGAACAATTTATAATTGAAGTTTATTTCAATGTAATTCTAAATACATGTTACAATTTTTTGTTGAATAATGTTAAAATAAAACCCTAAGAAATACTTCCAAAATATTAAAAATAAAAACAAAATACAATGCAAATTGTAAGGATTTTACTTATATTTCAGCATCAAATTATGGGGGGGAGAGATTGGTAGAGGGGGCTCAAATTAACCAAGAGCCCACATGCTGATAAAACGTCCTTTTCCCGACCGCTCTCCCGACCGCTCTCATCGACGCTTTGTTTTTTCCGACACGCTCTCCCGACCGCTCTCCGACCGCTCTCCCGACCGCTCTCCCTTCGACCGCTCTCCCGACGCTCTCCCGACCGCTCTCCCGACCGCTCTCCCGACCGCTCTCGCCGCCCGCTCTCCCGACCGCCTCTCCCGACCGCTCTCCCGACCGCTCCTCCGACCGCTCTCCCGACCGCTTCCCGACCGCTCTCCCGACCGCTCTCACCGACCGCTCTCCCGACCGCTCTCCGACCGCTCTCACGACCGCTCTCACGACCGCTCTCACGACGCTCTCACGACCGCTCTCACGCGCTCTCACGACCTTCACGACCGCTCTCACGACCGCTCTCACGACGCTCTCCACCGCTCTCACGACCGCTCTCCGACGCTCTCACGACCGCTCTCAGACGCTCTACGGACCGCTCTCACGACGCTCTCACGACCGCTCTCACGACCGCTCTCACGACCGCTCTCCGACCGCTCTCACGACCGCTCTCACGACCGGCTTGCAAATAGGGTACAGTGATTCAAGCGAGCAGGCTTGCATTGGATAAGTTCAGCATAATTATTGTACAATCTGATTGTTGTACTCTCTCGTCTTTACTATATAAGAAGTTAATGTTTTGTAATCTGTCGACGGAACACGTTCCGACCGCTTCGTGCGTGGTTTTCTCGAGACCATTGTGTATATTTATACAAGGGTGTAACAGCTACACATACTTCTACAACATTATATCTAGATTCGCAATTTTGGAAAATTCTGAGCGTTTAATGAAAATTAGTCATCATTCTTTAAAACCTCCCTTATCTGTGAAAAAAATTCGTTGTTTTTGAGAAAAATAAAATTCCTGCTTTTTAATTTAAATTATTAATGGTTCCCAGATAATATATAATATCTTCTGATAATTTATGAAAACTCTTTACCTTTTGGACAAGTAACATGAACCTGCAAAAATAAATTTTCTTCAATCTTCCTAATAGAACTAAGTTAGTTGGTTAATGTAATTAAATATTAAGTATGACACGAACATTAAAGAATTCATTGATTCACATAAATTTTCAAGTTGATATTTACTGTGTATTTTCAAGTATGTACTACTTAGAAGGGTGAGTCGCAGTGGTATTTCCCGTAAGGCATTGCCCACAATCAAGTAATATTTTACCGAAGGAGAGAGAAATTGGCAGATTGTAGATCTGCCAATTATTGCTATGTATGTTTTGTTTGCCTATGTATTGTTTCTGATCTGATGTGTGTTTAACAGGATGAAATTCATACATCCCATGGTGAGAAGTTTGCTGATGCTGTGCAGTCATGTTGGCAACAAACTAGTCAGTTAGTTGCTGTGGGAACAAATTGTGTCAATCCTAAATATGTAACTCCTCTTATCGAGTCTGTGAGGAAAAATAATACAATGAGAGATATCCCTGTTATTGTTTATCCAAACAGTGGTGAAATTTATCATGCATCTACTGGGTAAGTTTTGACCATTGCCTGTGTTCTATAAATGTTTTCATATTGGATTTAACTTTGTGTTTGATGAAGATGTGTTAAATAGAAGGTTTTGCTTTAGAAAAAACCAAAGCTTAGTGAAAATAAAATATTCATTTTTCTTTTTTACAACAGTGCAGATTACTCAAAGGAAATAAGCAATTGTTTCTTTAGAACATGACAAAGATAGCTGAAGTTTTTGCCTTACGTTAAAATTAAATGAATTTTAAATCAATTGTGGAACTTTCATTTTATTGCTTGAATATTTAATACTAGCAATAAGAAAAATCTCTGAAAATGGTACTACTTCATTTACGGAAGCTAAACTTACATTTACAGCTAAACTCTTTCATTTTCAAATATTATTCTAATTCTATATCTGTGATTAATCTAATTGTCCATGTATACTTTTACCTACACCTAAGTGAATACTGATATTGTCTTTGTGTCAACAGCAGTTGGTTGGAAGGAAGTGCTTGCCGAGCCCTTGATGAATATGTGCAAGAGTGGCTTGATCTTGGTGTTAAGTATATTGGTGGTTGTTGTCGGACATATCCACAAGACATCGCCAAAATTGTTGAGCAAGTAGAAAAGTGGAAACGATCACATGCTACTTGATTTTTGCTGCATTCAGGTTTTTAAGCAAGAGGTTTTTTTAACGTAATTTATCTTGCTGTCCCAGGAATGGTTGCACATTTAAGTTTTTTAGAACAATACAGTGATAGATATGCATTGGGAGTTAGGTGGGGTACCTAAGATACACAAGCAGGTAAACCACTTCTTTTCCCTTTGTAGGTCTATCTGCTTCAATAAATACTCTTAACTATTTGCCTTATCTCTAAAGTGCCTATCCTGCATTTTTTGTTTTAGTGTGGGGATTAGTGCATATATTTAATGATTATGCATATATTTATTATTTTGCGATTTGAACAGAATTTGAAGAAAACAAGGTTTCTCAAAACTGCTCTTTTGCATTCAACATTTGCCCTCTTTCTCATTTTATTTTGTATTTTCCAAAGTGCATGATCAGCTTGATTGTTGTGAATGTCATCTAAAACTCACATTGACCTCTTCAAGGGCAGAGCTGTTGGGCCCACAGATTTTACAGCTGTTTTATATCTTCTGAGGTATGTGATTGCAGTCTCTTTTGCATCCCAGTTTAGTGATTTTCCTTTCTTTCATGTTGTAAATCTGCCAAGCATTATTTATCACTGCATCTATGAGCCACGTCAATATTGTCTAGTATCATTTTTTACCTCTGATAGATATACAATTCTGATTTATATCTTGATCCACTTGATCAGTATTTCCCATATTTCTATTGTAAATGCTAATAATTACTGGCTGAGGGGCATTTATATGTTTTTTCTCTTTACATGCTTGATTGAAGATTTTCCGAATTGATGCAGCCACACTTTTGCTGCAACTGCAACAACCTTTTGTCCATCAATTTCCCTATCATTCTTTAAGACAAAATTGCCTCAGCTTCACTCACCTGTTTATTGCCACTCAAATTGTACAGCAGACCTTCTGTGTTCTCATCACCATGCACGTTCGCAGGCTGTGGTGTAATTAAATACCCTCTACCTCGGCAGTATCATCATTACCATTGATGCCTTGAATATCTTCTTCAAGCAACTGAACTAATTCTGTGATAGTCAGTCCATCTCTAAAACAGTCGATTTTCCTCATATAAAAAAAAATTCTTATAAAAATTCCAATCTTATCAAAACTCCAACTATGGAGAGGCGTGAAAAGCAGTGGAGAAGAACAAGTGTGACATATACGTCACAGTGACTTTTTCACGCCTCCACAGCTTCCCGTAATAATAATAAAAATTAATTAACGTATTTACTTTGCTTTTAGAACTGTCCATGAGAGACACCATTGAGATCAATTGACTTCATAACAATGTAGGCTATGAATTCAACTCATCAATGATCAGGGTCCAGGGGGAAAAAAACAAACTTTTTGTGGGCAAGATCTCACAATAAACTAACAAACCAGACCCCTCTGTGAAAAGAATACACTTGCACAGACATAAATATTGATCTGCAGTGAAAGGAATTAAGTTCTATCATAACTTGTTTACTGTGACGTATATGTTGCACCCATCCTTTCGTCAGGAAGTGGGTTGTGTCGGTGCAGATTGCGTATTTGTCTGTTTCATTCAGATGCATTTTCCCAACAACATACATAATGTGTTAAATGGGTGTAATTTATTTGCTTTTCTTTTGTAGGGAACTAATTTTAAGTTTTAAAAGCGTCTATCTCCTTACATTTGAAGAAATTTTGGAGAACTGATTTTTAAGTTATAAAAAGAAGGGTTATCTTATATTCAAGTAAATATAGTAAATTGCATGATGCTGTTACTTATTACTATAAGAGTTTATATACTAGAGTATATAGAAAATGCAGAATTAATGGTTGACAATATGTCATGAGCACCTCATAAAGATGTTGCTTTTTCTTCTCAGTATTCATTTGTTTTCATTAACACTTTTTTTAATGTTGCCTAAACTCTTGTTGGTTCTCTATTGTTCATCATACTGAAATTTTCATTGCGTTCTACTTTCTTGTAGGAAATAATGTTGTAGGGACCATAATCGCTGAAGAGACATAATATAAATCTTTGTAGTTTTGAGAGAAATACATTGTTGAAGTATCTATACCTTGTTTTCAGGTATTATTTTAATTTTTATCTACCTATTATTTACGTAAAGTATTCAAAAACATTTTTTATTTATTGAGCAGTATTCATATTTTAGGTTTGTAAAAGTTTAATACATATTTGTCAGTATTTTTTTGATGAAAGCCTTTAATGCAGTGTACATAATTTAAGGAATGTTTCTGCCTACTTGCAGTTGAATATAGTTTTTCCCCACAATTAAAGCTGGAAACTTTCTTTTTGATGTTATTGAACTGTTTATCATTGAGGCAATTCATTCAATGAAAGTTATAATCTTATTGCTATGTGCGCCTGAAGGTGTGTTATGACTGAATACATATCCAAAATGTCGTGCAATTTTAGTAATATGCAAATATTCTCTGTTAATTTACATTAAGGAAATAAAAATATTGTTTAGAAATTATGTTATTACTATTAAAACAGCATTCTAAAGTGAAGAAGGTATTATAAATTTGTATTACTGATGTATTATACACTGAAGTTTCTTTCAAAACTATCTTTTGCACAGACATACTACTTGCTTTTTTGAATAAAAGATTAAATATTGTGCTTTGGGTCCATGGAAGCACTGGTTTTATTTTTAAATGTATTATGTGTCGTAAATCAGAATGTTAAAAATGTTCCTTGTGTCTTGAAAAAATGTATTAGCATTTTATAGATTAAACATGTACTAAATATGTAATCATAATTGCATACTTATGTTTTCAAGAAGTTGTAAATGCTCTATGCAAGTTATCCATGTGTTGTCTGGAAATGACATACTATGATACTCCTTTTATTAGTTTTAAAAGAAAGTAGAAATTTACTGATAACATTCTGATTTAAATCACCATAATTAAGATTTCAAGAATCGCTTTATGTATGTATGGTTTTTAAATATTATTTTCTGGTGCTATTTTCTAGAGATAGGATTCTACACTAATTATATTTTTTTAGTTTGATTTTCTTCAAGAACACAATTTAATTATGATTTTGATGATTTCAGGCTGTGAAATGTATGTCAAATAGGCAATTGACTAAGATTTCTCAAAGTGCACTAAAAACTTAATCCACATTTCTTATTAGATCAACACTGACCTGTTTGCTTTAGCAATTCTTTGATCTTTTTTTCATGTTATCAGTGCACAAGAATAGTGTCTTATCTCAGAAAAATATATCTTTGTGGGAGAACAGTTTTAACTGTGTATGTCATTACTTGTAAATGCTAGCTCTGAAGTGGCCTATCTCTATTCAGATTTTACTTGTCGAAATATCCTTTTCTTCAACAATATCTTTATTTAACAAAAAAATTATGATTTTTGACATGTCTATTTTTTTTATGCACCAACAATGTGTCAAAATTATACCTTGTTTAATCTTTATGCACTGAAATTTGAAATAGACACTTGAAGGTGCAGACTGCATTTTGGTGCTTAGCTACTTCTTTATGTATAAAAATGTACATAAGATTGAGTATAAAATTAATATTGTTTGAATTAACGTAATTAAACGTTTGAAAAGAGTGAAAATAATGCTGTTTTCCATTTCTTTTCTTTCCCCACATGCATTATAGAGCTTGAATTTTTAATTGTTAAAAAACTATGTATTTTCTAGCTAAAAGATGTTGTCAAATCAGGAATCTTTTGAGTAAGGTTTCCTAAAAACAAAATACTTTTTCTAAACTGTTGGCATCTACAATATTGCCAATATTTTCTCCGTTACTTTCTCTTTTGAGTGGGGACCCCACATCTCAGCTGCCGTCTATCAGAGTCTAGGGTGCCCTGTGGTTACTACAGTTTCCCTGGGGACAATTTTCAATGAAGAACCCCCTCGCACTCTCCTCACAACACATTACAGTAGCCCTTAGGTCGATCTCTGTCATGTATCATAACATGTAGGCTGCATGTAGGTCCATCTCAATGATAGATTTTGGTGTAGGGAGCCATTTCCTCAACACAAATGTGCGTGCGCAGAAATTTCGCACTCGCATTAGTTACAATCGGGCAAGGGATTACTGAAGGTTTAAGATGTGGAGGTAATTTGTAAGAAGCTGGGACTGCTCTCGTGCCACGGACAATTCAAAAAGCTTATACACGGAATTTGAACGTACCCCTTAGAACCCTGTGCTTCAGCTATGTTTCTTTAGTTTTAAAATCTACTAATACCAATTCCCGTTGTACTCACTACCCACCAAACTATTCTAAAAATAATAATTTCACTTATTTCTACATTACTAAAAATTGCTCTCATTTACCTGACTTTTCAAACTTAATATTAAATATCGTTCAATAAATAATTTCTTCCAAAAATTACAAATCTAATTAAAAACAACCTTCCAAATTTACTTCATGGCTATTAATGTAAATACTATAACCCAATGAAATTGGAAAGCAAATGGTCTAAACAGACAGAAAAAATATATTTCAGTATTTTTAAAGGAAAGTAATATAGCTGGTATTAGTGAAATACATTTAATACCAGCAGAAAAACTATACATACAAGGTAACAAAGTTTACAGAAATGATCATATCTCTGCACATACTTCTGAAGGGGTAGTTATACTTGTTAAAACTCATACCTTATCAAGAAACATTTTTTCCTATTTCGCTTAATTTAGAATGTATAGCATTAGCTATCAATATCAATAACAGATTTTAATATATACGCAGCATATAAACCACTTAATAAAATATTTTCAAACCCAGTTTATAACGGCTTTTTCCAAAATCCAAATTGTTTATTTCTAGGTGTTTTCAATTCTAAACATACCCCTTGGGGATGTAACAGTACTAACCCTCAAGGTATTTGTCAACTCCAATACATTGCGCACAATAATAGAAATACATGCTCCCTCTGTACCCACGCCATACTATTTTTGTCATAATAATATTGTTCTTGACATACTAGGCATTATCATATCAAAAAATTTCCACTCTTTCAATCACCTATCCTAGAATTAGATTTGACCATCTTCCGGTAATAATCTCGTTTCAATCTTAATTACTTCTTATTCAATCCACACCAAATAATATACAGATGTACTGGGAAAGTTATAGAAAATTTATGAATGATAATTATAAATTCCCCCAAAACTTTAACACTATTCAAAAAATTGGTAATGAAATAGAAATATTTACTAAGATATTAAGTCTTTCTTATCAAAAATCAACAATCTTTCATAAGCCTTACATTTCAGGTGGACAACAATTACCTCTAAATATAATTAACTTTTGGATCACACTATGCATATTCCAACACTGATAAATCTAATCTAATAGCTGATCAATTAGAAGACACATTTATTAATAACCCAAGATTAATTCACCAAGATTTTAATGATAAGATCGAAAGGTATCCATCCTATAGTTCCTTCAAAAATTAAATTTATCTCCCCCCCCCCGGAAATCTTAAAGATGAAGAATCTAAAAATTCATAAAACCCTTGGATATGGTAATATTTTCAATAAAGTGCTTAAAGAATTGAATTTAGCTATTTTAGCAAAATTATGTAACCTCTAATTCCATGCTCTAAATTTCAGATTTTCCTAAAGCATGAAAATTAGCAGATATACTTCCCATTTGCAACCCTGGAAAAGACCCTCACTCTCCTATTAACTATCATCCAATTAGCTTTTTCATCTTCACTATCCAAAATATTTGCAAAATCATTAGTGAAACGATTAAATTAGTATATTTTCTCAATACTAGCTCTTCCACATTATCAATTTGGATTTAGAACTCACTACTCAACAACTCATCAGTTACTTAGGGTTATGGAATTAAAATTTCTGGAATTTTTGATTGATAGATTTTGAAAAACAAAAGAATGAAAAATCCTTCGCATTATTTATGCAGTAGTTGTTCACATACACCGGTTAGATGGAGCATTACATAACTTTCCCTATACATATATATTACTCCATATATACGTATGTATATGAGAAAGTAATAAATGTTCACCTCTATGAGAAAGAGCGACATACAATTTTAATTTTCAATACATGTATACCAAATAACTAACTTCCCCCTATCATGACTAGCGAAAGAAAGCTCAAGAAGACTGGACGGAGTGAACTTACATTTACTTTCCAGAAATCAAAGCAATGGGGACATTTCAGCATTTGCTCAAAGGATCAAGAGTAACTGGACAAAAACCCTGGTCGTGTTAGTGTCTTTGATCTTACAGCTGGCTTAAAAACGCTTTCATATAGAGAAAATAACTTTCTCTTATTACGAAGGAAGTGTGAGAACAGCACATACTTTCTCGCCCGTATTTTCACACAAAATTAGGTGAAAAGTAATCATATTTTCAGAAAAATTGTACATTACCTTGTTCAAAATCTATCTTTAAGGAAGAGATTTCATTAAGAGTCTAAATCTTTATCTTTTATTTTTTTAGTTGTAGGAAGATGGCGAAAATTTTGAAATTTTCGAAAAATCAGGATTTCTTACGTACATGAGGCCTGCGCCATTCTCTCAAACTTCAAACACACTATCCTACGACAAAATTGAATAATAATAAACGAAGTCTTTTTTTTTGTTTTGTTTTGAAAATTTGCAAAATTTCCCTGGGAGTGTTTTGTAAACTACCCCCCCCCCAAAAAAAAGAAAACCTTAAAATATCGGTTTCAAATTCAAGACATCAGCCAGATCGATCGGGGAATATGAATTTTGGAGAAAATCAGTTGAACCGTTTAGCCGCTGATGACAGAAAGACGGAAGTAGGGATCGACAGAGACATTTTGCCGTCATTCGATTTTTCGGTATCAAGGATCCACAAGATATGGATTCTGGCTTCACCACGTGCTAGAGGATTTTTTTTTCTAAATTTACCTAATGGATTTATCCACTTTTTCGTTAGCAGTGCATGGCACTAAGTGTTTCTGCCGAAAATTCGCCTTTTTTCGCGCTCTACTCCGAAGCGAGAAAGTAAAAGTGACGTTAAGGTTACATTATTTGACATTTCTGAAATTTGACGATTATGGAATATTTCTCTCACCTTATATCCCGAATTGGAATTTTTCGTGAGGGTATAACTACCCATTATACCCACATTATCCGTCGGGCCTGTTTCCGCTGTATTACATATTCGTAAGGTTCTATACTATGTATATTACTCCTTACTTACGTGTATATACGGACGTATAAGTAAAAATTAAAAACATATATCATTGTGCTTTAATGAGTCAAGTATACTGAACACACTACGTTTTAACACACAAGTAAAACGAGTCGCAAATACGGCGGATAAGAGAATCTGTCTTTCTGCAGCTCTAGTGCGCCCAATTACGAAGGAACCGAACACTGAAAGTTTGAATTCCGCTTAAGACATGGAAGTTTTCACTTGTTTTGGGGGCGTAGTGATCATTCCCAATTCTTCGTGTATCACGTCTACATCCTAATCCTTCCGTAAATCTTTGCTTTGGCCGGTAACTGTGATAGAATTGTTTGTGTAATTGAAGTTCCGAGTAGCAGCTCCGTTCACCCGATGATACAAATTCCGAGACGGGCCCACGGACTACCATGGGCATATGTAACAGTACATGACCTAGTTTGTCCTAAAGGGTACCTCGGCAGTGGTGAAACTATCCGGGAACTCTGAGGCCCCATACACTCAAAAAAAAAAATCTTATTTGAAGAAACTTTAATTATAAAAGGTACAAAAGTGGTTCATATTGAGGTGTTTTCCATAAAACGAAACTAAATATTTTCTGACCTTAAATAAAACATTAATACAAAGATGATTTGTTGATAAGAGAGATTCCGTTATTTTAAATTTGGATAAGACTAGCTTTCCATTCGGCGAACGTTTTAAATATTTCTTCCAAATAATTTCTCAAATTATGGGTCAAGTTGTGTTCAATTGACAGAAAACTTGAATCACTTAATTGTTCTTGGACCGTGGAAATCCTTAAATACTTTTGTATGTTTACTATTTAGAACGAAGGCAAGAGATAATCTTCCAGACACTGCCGTGCCCGCAGCGTGTAGGATTCACAGCTTATCTGTGCCTACCAACTACAAACCCCTTCAATTTTTCCAATTCCCCCGAGCCGCCGTCATACATTCCATCACGGGAAGGGTCAATCGACTTGTCGCTCTATGTCAACTGATGTCCGGGATACTCACGGATACTCCTTCGTAGTCGCTCTAACCGAAGCTTCTTAAAAACTTTTGCGGCATAGGTGGCTACCACACTCCAATTATCTTCGGAGACCAGCAACCAAGTGACGATGGTATCAGGAGTCACTACCTCGAGGAGTCGTTGGAGTTCTTCCCACTCCTCGGCAAGGCGTGGACATCAAAAGAACTCGTGCTCTATGTCTTCAACCAATGGGTCACAGTCCAACCGGAAACGGAGTTAGTATGCACGGTAATACTCATTCCCCGTTAACAACTGTGTCAAATAATGATCCACATCTCCGTGTTTCCTTTGGGTCCACTTTGTTACGTCAGGAATAAGACGAAATGTCCATCTACCAGTAGATGATAAAACGCATCTCCGTTGATACAGAGCCATTGTCACCTTCTTCTCTTCCTTTATGGTGATGCTCCTATTTATAGCTCCCTCACGTTTAGGTCTGTAGAGCCGGCCCTTTCTTGGGCCACGAGGTCTGTAGTGGGCATGTCGGCTATCACGCGCCATACGAAACCATGCGAAACGCCCGGGCCACCCTCAAGACTGACATTCTATACACTGACTTCACCCCGCGGGAGTACTACTGGATCCCTAAAGCATCGCCCCAAATAGGGGCTGCGTAGAGCAGCATAGAATTAACAGCGCTAGAAAATAGCTTCCAGTTACTTTACCTTGGATCCCCAACATTAGGCATAATTCGTGCCAGGGCGGAGGCTGTACGAGACTCTCTCGCAACTGTACGCAAGTGCTCGTCGAAGTGTAGTCTCGTGTCAATCTGGACTGCTAAGTATTTTAGAGACTGGTGGGAGGCTATTTTACTACCCTCTACATTAAGAGTAATACCCTCTTTCACTTTTCTGCTTGTCACCAAGCCAGCCTCTTGTCTTATGCTCGGCTATCTGGAGCCCCACCGACGTTAGCCACATCCAGATATCAGCCACCGCCTCGTTGGCAATCAGCGTGACCTCTTCAGTAAATTTGCCGACCATTACCACCGCAACATCGTTAGCAAATCTAACAGCCCTTGCGCATTCCGGCAGCTGGAGCCTTCACAACAATCATACATAATATTTCACAACAGTCCAAGTTCCGAGCCGTGCGGAACATCTATTTGGACATACGCTTTAGGGATCCAGTAGTACGTCCGCGGGGTTGTGAGTGTACAGAAGGTCAGCCTGGAGGGTGACCCGGGAGTTGCGCACGGTTTCATATGACCAGAGATACCATAGGTCTTTACAATACGGAACTTCCAGTGTTTTTAACGCTGCAAGTATGGAACTCCACCTTCCCGAATTAAAAGCGTTCCTGACGTCAAGGGTAACAATAGAGCAATACTTCTTCGCGCCTCTTCTCCATCGTTTGCCCTCTATAGCCTTGCGTGCGGTGTCGATGACGCCCTTAATTCCGTCCACTGTGGATCTCGCCTTCCTGAAGACATACTGATTATCAGACGGTCCCTCCGTGTAGGCTTCAGTGCGTTTGCAGATGATCCTCTCTAGCACCTTGCCTGCTGTATCCAGTAGACATAGAGGCCGACATGCTGGTGGATCGTAGGTGGAATATCGCTCTTCGGAAG